AGAGCAAACGACACTCTGATAAAATAGGCCCAAATCCAATTTGCTTTATCGCAGCAATACTGAAGTGTTTGCAAATGGGAAATACAGAGTCATTCAAAATGCAAAACCCTTAGGGCGCCTGGGTGGCTCAGTCGGTTAAGTGGCCGACTTCGGCTCAGGTCATGATCTCACGGTCTGTGAGTTCGAGCCCCGCGTCGGGCTCTGTGCTGACAGCTCAGAGCCTGGAACCCGTTTCAGATTCTGTGTCTCCCTCTCTCTGCCCCTCCCCCATTCATGCTCTGTCTCTGTCTCAAAAATAAATAAATGTTAAAAAAAATAATAAAAAACAAAACAAAACAAAATGCAAACCCTTGCCTATAAGGATACCCATGGATTATTGGTCCATTAACCCAGGATCCCGATTCTGTTCAAAATCTATAAAACTGGAGGCCGCTGGGATACATGAGCAGCGCACCTTTCGTCAGTTAAGCAAAGACTCGGGACCTGGCAACACTAATGCCAGTGACGAATCTGGACAGGAAGGAGTTACCGGCCACAGAGGAAACCAACCCCTCTGGCTTTGAAGCCCGAGTGGAGAAAACCCAAGACAACGAACGGGAGGACTGGCCTGCCCTTCCCCCTTAAACCAAGCTACGAGGACCCCCATCAAAAGCGCAGTGGCCTTTGCAAGGGGGCACGCGGACAAACGCGGCCTGGGAGCTCATCTCCCAAAGGAGACAGGCTCTCTCCTGGCAAACATCTCCCGGGAGCCGGAAATCCTCACTGCGGTCTCTGTCCACACAGAGGGACGAATGGATTAGCTGCAGACGGCAACCATCTCATGACTGGGAAGGGCACAGGCACCGGGGACTCCGTTCCCACCCGAGGGGCACCGAATGCTAGGGCAAAGGTCCGGGGTCACGGTCCCACCTCTGGACAGGCACCGGACCCCAGCCCTTTTTACCAGCGCCCTTCCCAAAATCGAGAGCCCCCAAACGACTCAGCGGAGGGCTCACACCGGGAAGCGGCCTCCCTCTGAGAGGCTCCAGCAGGCAGGCCTGGAGAAATCTGTCTCCTTCCGAACCGAGAATGCCTCTCTCGGATTCACAAAGCCCTTCAGAATCACGACCGTCCGCACACAAGCTCCCCTTCCCAGACCCCTGCGGTGCCCGTCCTTCTGGTGCAGGCAGTGCTTTCTCTCGCTGCCGCCCCCTCCGCCCCGAGACAAGGCCGCTGCGGACAGAATGCCACGTGAAGACAGAGCTCCCCCTCCAGGCCCCGGGCCCACGCGTGTGTTTCCCTAAGTGACCTGAGGGCCAGGCGTGCGCACGTGCGGTGATGCGGTCCCACTGCCCACCTCGGAAGCCGACTCAACTTTTAGCCTCCCTACAACTACCTCTTTTAATCTACCCCAGCGGGATCTCCGTGAAACACCGCCAGCCCTCTCCAGGACAAACGGTCTGTTCACAAGTCAGCCGAAAGGTGAGCTGGGCCCCAGGACGGGGGAGGTGCCTCTCCACTGTCACGGTCAGGACATTCCTCCCATGCCGCCCCCCACCGAGCTGACGTACGGACCCAAGCGCCCAACTAGTACGCGCACAAGCCCCGGGCTCTCGCTTCCATGCAAACAAAACCAAGGAGACCATCTTCTCAATTAGTAAGCGTGTATCTTATAACCTACCTCCCAGACGAGAGAGTTTACACTGCTCTTGGAAACACTCCGTTTTGCTTAGAGAAAATAAAAAATTACTTTCCTGTAAAATGGGGAATGGCTGAAATTTTTCTTTAGCTACGATATTCTGGCATGAGCTTCTGTATCTATGTAAAAACAAAGTCTTAAGAGTAAAATCAAAAAAGCGAATGATCAGAAATGTAAGTTTAAGTAAATTCCAGAGTTGGCAGAATTTCTTGCTTACTCTTTAAAAAATTTTCAGAATCATCTTGCCAATTTGGCTTTTCAACACAAAATGCTCAAAGTAAAACACTATTCAGGAGGCAATAAAACGGCCCCCTGCCAGAGAGCCCTGCTGGGCACTACAACAATGTCCCGTTCAGGCCCCAGTCCCTTCCGGGAGGCTGGCCTGTCCCTCAGCCTTTATGGCTAAGGTCACACTAATGAAGACACGAATCCCTGTCGCAGAAGTGTTAACCAAGAAGCACGAGGCGGGCTGATGCGTGACACCCCCCACCCCCCTCGGCACCTGCCACTGCGGACCCACGGCCTTACCTTCCTCTTCCTCGTCGTCGTCACTGGACTCGCTGACGTGCACGCTGACAGCAGTGTTTGGAGAGTCTGTCCATTCAAAGTACACCCCAAATCCAATGTCATAATTGTCTGTAGCAAATTCCCAAAAGAGATACGATCCCTCTTCGTGGGTGGGGACGCGAACGGTGACCACTTCTCCTCGGCCCACTGTAATCACGGAGTCCGCGTCCTGCCGAATCTTCTCTTTGAAGTCTTTGATCTGGGGTCGTGTCCACATGGACGGAGCTGCTATTACTGGAAGAGATTCTAAAAACAACAGGAATGCAGGAATGACACACGCTGAAGAGGACGAGCCTTCACCTGCAGGCACCGAACCCGCACACTGCCCCTGCCCGCCCCAGGCAGGCGCACCAAGGGCCATCTGGTCTACCGCAGTTGTACTTGGGGTTGAGGACTCCGAGGAACATACGGGTTTCCCGTGGAAGCCTCCCCCCCACTGGCTACATCTGCCAATGTCACCAGCTATCCAGAGGCCACCACACCACTTCAGGGGACAAATGCAATCCACAATCTAAGAAGTGATTTTTTTTTTTTTTTCCAACACTCCGATTACGTATGGGGATTTAAGACTGACCCTGGAAAACTTGTAGCTGGACCCAGGAAAATATTCTAATAAAGAAGGGAGACCCAGGGGCCCCGGATGGCTCAGTCGGTTACGCATCCAGCTCTTGACCGGCTCAGGTCATGATCTCACAGTTCATGGGTTCGAGCCCTATGTTGGGCTCTACACTGGCAGTGTGGAGTCTGCTTGGGATTCTCTCTCTCCCTCTCTCTCTCTGCCCCTCCCCCACTTATGTGCACACACGTTCTCTCTCAAAATAAACAAACTTAAAAAAAAAAAGAAGATGGGGCGCCTGGGTGGCTCAGTCGGTTGAGCGTCCGACTTCGGCTCAGGTCACGATCTCGCGGTCCGTGAGTTTGAGCCCCGCGTCAGGCTCTGGGCTGATGGCTCAGAGCCTGGAGCCCACTTCCGATTCTGTGTCGCCCTCTCTCTCTGCCCCTCCCCCGTTCATGCTCTGTCTTTCTCTGCCTCAAAAATAAACATAAACATTTAAAAAAAAAAATTAAAAAAAAAAAAGAAGAAAAAGAAGGGAGATCTGGATTTAGGAATAAATTCACTTTTGGATCTGGACAAAGAAAACCGGGCTTCGACTTCAATCGCTCTGTCAAAAACAAACAAACAAAAACAACAACAACAACAACAACACTCTTGACCTCTGAAGTCAAGTTCTAGAGGCTATTCTAAAGGAGCTCAAAGAAACAGAAAACCTCGGACAGGACTGGCCCCACTAGGGACTGAACAGAGAGGATTAAGTCTTGTCGCTGAGCAGCGTTTATGTGCACCAGACTACTCAGGTTTTCCAGATGTGGTCACAGAACCTTTGACAAAGGTGCATTTGAAAATACTGACAAACGTGGGGCGCCTGACTGGCTCGGTCGGTAGAGCATCTGACTCTTGATCTTGGGATCGTGAGTTCGAGCCCCACATCGGGTGTAGAGATTACTTGAAGAAAACAAAAACAAAAAACTGATAAACTCTTACAGGGAAAAAAAGAAGATGGGTTAAGCCAAGCTGTTTTCTGTTACTCTAACAAGACAAGGCAGATGTCTGAAACCGCCTTTCTTGTGAACCACACCACCGCCCAGCCGTGTCCCTGACACGCTCTCCCTTCCTTCCTCAGTTAGCTCCTACTCTGGCTTCGGCTCTCGCGGCTCAGTCGTCTTTTCCCCAGGAAGCCTCTGCTGACCTCTGTGACTAGGTCACAGTCCCCTCATCACACACTCTCCACCTACGACCGCGGTACTCTAGTTTCAAAACCACAGGTAACGCGTGACAGGCAGCCTCCGAGACGCACCCCACCCCGTGAGCCTCACCTCTGGGGACTCACGCACTTGGGAGGTCGCCAGCCACCATGTCCCGGGGCCGGTATGTGGGACCAAGAGAATACAGCAGAAGCGCGGACACGTGATTTCCAAAGTCAGAATGTAAGAGACGTGCCACCTCTGCGTTGATCTCTTGGACCGTGTTCCCTGGAGGAGAGGCTTCACGGGGCAAGGAACCGAGGTCTCCCGCCAAGAGCCAGCCCCGACTTGCCGGTCGGGAGAAGGAACCACCCTGGGCAGAACCTCTGCCCCCTGGCAGCATCCTGACCCACGGGACCAGGACGACCACCGCTCGGCTGAGCCGCGCCTCCGTTCCCGAACCCCCCGTAATCCCTCACCCACCGTGTGAGACGACGACCACTGGTTACCCGTGAGCTGCGAAATTTGGGTCTTATTTGTTACACGGCAGCAGATAACCAACACACAACCCCAAGTGTCCAAAAGACATCCGACCTGCCCTTCCTTCCATGCTGTCCTAATGGTCACCAGAAGCATCAGATTCTGACGTAAAGGGTAAAAAAGCATCCAACTCTCACAAATAGGTAACTGCTCTCCGAAGCTAGTTAGCCGGACTCCCGACGTGCCTTCCGTGAACTCAATTACGACCTCTGGACAGATCAACACAGAGGCCAAACCATACCTTTTGGTCCATTCTCCACGGCTTCTTCTGCAGCTTCTGGTTCGAGGTCTTTCTCAGAGCTGTCCGTGTGGGCTTTGGCCTGTCCGTTAACCGACGTCCTATCACTCGGCACAGCTGCATTCACCTTTGCCGGCGTAGGCAAAGCGGCTCCCCCAACCGCTACCTCCTGCTGCTTCTGGAGCGCCGCCTGCGAGTGGAGAAAGAGTGAATATCCGCTGACCGGGCCAGCATACCACACGTGAGCCCTGGGGCAGACTCTGGCCCATGTCTGGGTCCTACCAAAGCACTCTGCTCCAAGAAATTACTAATAGACTTCACCCACTGTATCCCATCTGTGATGAACGTTACAGATGTGACATCGGAGTAAAAGCTAAAAACGATCCAAATTATCATGGACAAAACCTGCAACGGAAGGTCACGTTTGCGTGACCTGAGGATCACTAGAAAAACTGACCGGGAAAAATTAAAATAGAGAGAAATAATCAACCCCAAATACAACCGAAGGTAAACACTGAACACAGTAACATTTGTTCTTAAAACGGACAGAAGATCTCGATCAGATTCAGAAACCTACAATCTGAATCAGGAAAATTACACTGGGTAGAAAGAAATGATCACGAAGGAAAACTCACAAAGGCAGAAACTATCATTGGTAAAAGCTCCCTTCCGGGCCTTCCCTCCCCCTCCCCCCGCTGTAAGCGCTATATGACCAGCCTCACCTAGAACACTGCAGATGTGCTTTGCCTGTGTGTCAACGTTATCCACTTGGAACGTATAATAAATGCTCTTTTTTGTGTCTGGCATCTTTTACTAAACATTATTTCTGTAAGGTTCATCCACAGAGTGGTAAGTAATTGTAATTTGCGCTGCTAGGACATTTCATTGTGAAATTACAAAATTCATCTGTTTTACTGTTGGTGAGCCCTCGGGCATTTAAGTAACTTTAAACTAAAACAAGAGGTCATAAGTAAGCGTATGTTTATGAAAGTAGAAAATAAAGCACAGGGGAAAAAGCGTCGGTAATCTCACGGTTCAGGACAGTGACGCAATTTAGCGTATCTGTATTTACATTTAACGTGTCACCTGCAAACCGACTACTTCAACGAACAGCGACACTTTCTCCGGTGCTAACGCAGGCGAGTGATACACGGAAGACTTCAAAATACCTTCTTCCGAGGCCCGCATTCTCAGTCTTTCCCCATCAGTCTCCAGAAAGAGTACCAGCGTCCAGAAAAAGAGCGTGCAACCAACCCAAGTGGGCAAACCCAGAACACTCAGTGAATGACAGGCAAGCAAAAGAAAGCATTTCTGTTGGTGATCAGCAGGCCCGGCTCACACGGTCGCTGTCCAGGAGGCCACGCTTGAATTCCTCCAGCAGAGCGAACCCCCTTGGGGATCCCACTGTTCACCAACGGATTCTAACTATCACGTAGAACAGACCATACCTCTTTCTTTATATCATCTCTCATCTGTACTTTGGGAAGTTTTAAAAGCACAGGAAGGTATAGGAACAATCACCCACGTAACTACACCTCCACACGAACAAGTCTTAGCATTCTGTCACTTTGCTGAGTATTTATAAAGAAAATTAACACTTTATGAGGGCTGAGGTTTCCTCTGATCATTCCCCAACCCCTTTCCTTCTCCATTCCCAACGACATCCAATATGGTCGATCACGGTAATCCAAATTACGGATTCCAGTTCTTTCTGGTTCTCTTTCCAAGATTCTTGGTTTGCGGGTATCTTGATTTGCAAGGTTCTTGACTGCAAGATTCTGTTCTCTTATTTAAACGACAGCAACCTCTAAACGGGACGGGGCGTGTGAGCCACCCTGCTGAAAAACTACCTCGAGGCCCATCACAGAAGCAGGGACGGGGGTGGCAGGCTAAAATAAGACACGGGCTTCCGAGGACAGCAGAGAAACCCCTTGGAATAAACTCGGTGAGTGTCGTCTTCATCCTCTCACGCACGACAAAAATCTGCCTTTTCCCGCTCAGTAACGCTGAAGACCCCAGGGAAGAGGTACTTGAAGCGAGGAGTGAGTTTTCAAAGAACTTAAAGAGGTTGGCAAGACGACGAGGGACGCAGAGCCACCGCCGCGCCCCACGTTCTCCTCGCTCTGACTTTTGGACCGGCAACGGGTGCTTTAGGAGCGAAAACTCCACGAGTAAAGCGGCCAGGTTAACTCCAGAGGCAGTCACGCCTCGGCCCGATGGGCAACGCGAGTGTCTGACCGGCCCTCTGCTGGAGGCACCGGACACTTTCATGTGGCAGCTCGCTCTGTGAGGGGAACGGGACAGGCACCGGGACGTTCATCGCCTTCTTGCGGACCAGGGGAAAGGGCGGGAAACTCAGACGGCAGGCGACGCATCTGAGAGGCAACAAGACAACGGCAGAGCAGAGCCGGGACAGGATCCGAGTGTCATGTGACCCCGCCCCACTGCTGCGCCTCTCCCCTCCTGCACGGGGCAGGGAGCCGGAGGAGCACTGGCGGCCACGGCACCTGCCGCTGCCGTCAACGCGGCCAGCCCGGCTCTGCCGGATCAGCCGACGGCCTCCGGGGACGGTCCTCCCGCGGGCGGTGGTCCGGCCCGTGACCCCCCCCCCCCCCCCCCGCCTGCCAGGGCCGCCCTGGGAGACACTGCCCTCCCCCCGCTCCCCTCACCACCACCCCCCGCCCCCAGCCCCGGGCGCACCTGCTGCTGGGCCAGCTGCGCCTGGTACAGCTGCTGCATGTACTGCTGGTAGTGCTGCTCCTGCAGCTGGCGCACCAGGAGCTGCTGCTGCTCCGAGCTGCCCGGGTACTGCTGCGCCGCGTACTGCCGGAACTGCGCGGCCGTCTGCGAGTTCAGCGCCGCCATGATCTGCTGCCTGCAAAACGCGGAGAACGCCCGCTGGTCGCACCACGGCCGCCGCGCCGGGCCGCGCGTCCCCGCTCTCCGTCCCGACCGGCCGTCGCCCCTCGAAGGCTCCCGGCGGCCGACGCGGACCCGTCGGCCCGGGTCCCGGGCCCAGAGGAAAGGTCTCGGGAAACACGCTCGGCCTCGGGTCCGTCGGGAGGCTCTCCGAGGAAGAGCCAGCGGACGCGGAGGGTACTACGTGCCACCGGACCCGGCGCCGCCGCCGCGACGACGGACCCCGCGGCCCCCGGTGCGCGCCCCTCGGCCCGAGCGTTCCCGTGCGAGGCCGCCTGGCGCTCAGCACCCCGGCGGGGGCGAGGCCGAGAAGCGGGGCGCGGCGTCCAGGGACGTGCCGGAGATCACACCAACGGAGCGGCCGGGGCCGGGGTTCAAGTCCCGGCAGGCCTCTCGGACCTGGCCGCTGTCAGAGGGGGACTGGCCTCTAGGCCAGAGGGGAGACACTGAACCGTGGGCCGCGGCTTCTCGACCTGAATAGAGGAGGAGCAGCGAGGGGCAGAAGAGTGACTAGAAGAGGACGCGAGGGGCCCTGGGACGTGGAAAGAAAGCCAGTGAAAACCTGAGGGTCTCTTGCATTTAATTTAAAGCCCGCCTCGGGGCACCGAGTGGCTCAGTCTGTTAAGTGGCCGACCTCGGCTCAGGCCGTTGATCTCACGGTTCGTGGGCTCGAGCCCCGTGTCAGGCTCTGAGCTGTCAGCGCCACTTCGGATTCTGTGTCTCCCTCTCTGCCCCTCCCCCGCTCGCACTCTGTCTTTCTCTCAAAAACAAACATACATTAAAAAAAAAAATTTTAAGCCCGCCTTAAAGGAGAACACGGAAAACGGTATCCGGGCCCACCTGTTACTATAAATGTCTGTCGTGTTCTTCCAGATAGGCTCCACGTGCTTAACTCAGTTATGTGACCAACTCCACAAAGACCTCAACAGGCTAATGACAGATAAAGCAGAATGTCACAATGACACTGGGCCTGGCCGCCCCCAGAGTGGTGTACTCCTAGTCTCTCTCCAAAGCGGAACGAGGCCCGGGGTGGGTCGGGGACTAGCCCGACGCCTTTCCGAGGAACAACGAGAAATAACGAGACATCGGCGGACCCTCACGTTCTCTGCAGACCTTCCCCGACGTCTGCAGTGTTAAGCCCTTCCTGCCTGTACCCAGAGCTCCCTCTGCAAGAGCCGGTCCCCTGGGAGACGGCTGCGCTCACCGCCCCGAACAGGAAACGGTTTCGGGTCCCAAACCCCGTACTCAGAACGGCACCTGCCACGGGCCGCACCGCCCGGATTCTCTGTCCCGGGCCCGTGTCTCTGGGCCTCTCGGACTCTGGCCGGTCTGGCGGATGCACGAACACCCAGAGAGGGCAAAGCAGACGCACAAGCAGGGAAGCAAGACAAGGTCACGGGGACCCGGAGACAGAGCGAGCGGACGGCGGGCACAGGTGGCTCACTTCTGCTGTTCCAGCCGCAGCCGCTCCTCCTCCAGCCGCCGCCGCTCTTCCTCCTCCCGCCGAAGCCGCTCCTCCTCCTCTCTCCTGCGCTTCTCCTCCTCCTTCTGCACTCGCTCTCGCTCCTCTTCTTCCCGCCGCCTTCGCTCCTCCTCCTCCTTCCTACGGGGGAGGACAGACACCATGAGCGCCGCACGAGGGCTCCCGCTTCAAAATAACCAAGGCCGTCTTTCCCAGTGACCACGGACTCAGCCCCGAGAGGACGTGGTGGTCTTCTCACACTGCAGAACGTGCGCGCTCCGCCAGGAGCCATCTCCCCTCCGGAGCCCACGTCACCGCACGCAGGACCACGGCAGGGACATCGGCCACCGGGCAGCACAGAGAGGTGTCCGTCGGGAAGACACCACTGCAATCACTACCATACGCCCACAGCCCAAAGGTTTCCCAGCCTGGCGCCCTCCCAGCCCGGCACGGTGCTCTCGACACCAGTACAGAAGTGAACATTGCCCCTCTAGTGCCACGGAGCCACAAAACTACGAGTCGTGGCCGAACGTACTGATGTTTACTCTGCTCGTGTAATGCGAAGAGCAGGCAAATACAAAGGACGCCTTCCTGGGTCCGTTACCATCTGCGGAGAGAAGACGGCACTGACAGCAAAGCGGGGACAGGGCTCTGGCCTGTGCTTTACGTGTTGCTAATGAAAAACATTTATAGGGCACAGATCTGTAGGTTACTTCTGAGTTTAAAAAATATCAAAGCTTTCAGACACCCACTGGCTTAGTCGGTAGAGCATGAGACTCTTAATCTCAGGGTTGTGAGTTCAAGGCCCACGTTGCGGTGGAGCCTACTTAAAATTAAAATAAGGGGCGCCTGGGTGGCTCAGTGGGTTAAGTGTCTGACTTCAACTCAGGTCACGATCTCACGGTTCGTGAGTTCGAGCCCCGCGATGGGCTCTGTGCTGACAGCTCGGAGCCTGGAGCCTGCTTCGGATTCTGGGTCTCCTCCCTCTCTCTGCCCCTCCCTCCTTCACGCTCTGCGTGTGTGTCTCTCTCTCTCTCAAAAATTAACAAACGTTTAAAAAAATTTATTTAAAAAAATAAGTTACAAAGCTTTGAACATAAAAGAGAAAAAGAACAGCAGGAAATGCAGGCGCCGCCCCATCCAGCTCTGGCCCTCCCCTGGTGCCTCTCTGGCTACGCGCGGTGTGGACGGCAGGGTGGCTGAGGACGGGACACAGAAGACCTCTGAGGATCTGAGAAGACACCACACTTCTTGGTCTTACCACGACAACTGCTTGGGTCACCCCGCTTTTCTCCCAAAACTCCTATAACTGATTAACAACACATCCGAGCCACAGCCAAGGCTCAAAATACAGCGATAACATGACCTACTTGTAACCTGTCACAGCTGGCAGGGGGTAAGATGTTCCAAGGCCAGAGCGAGACTTCTGGACTGAGGAACTCTAGTCTTAAATGTTTTCAAGGAGTGCTAGATGAACTTGATCTCATGACAGAACTACAGTTTTAAAAAGAAAAATACAGGGGCGCCTGGGTGGCGCAGTCGGTTGGGCGTCCGACTTCAGCCAGGTCACGATCTCGCAGTCCGTGAGTTCGAGCCCCGCGTCAGGCTCTGGGCTGATGGCTCGGAGCCTGGAGCCTGTTTCCGATTCTGTGTCTCCCTCTCTCTCTGCCCCTCCCCCGCTTGCACACGCTCTCTTAAGAATAAACAAACATGTGGGGCGCCTGAGTGGCTCAGTCGGTTGAGCATCTGACTTCAGCTCAGGTCATGATCTCACAGTTTGTGAGCTGGCACCCCACATTGGGCTTGCTGCTGTCAGCACAGAACCCGCTTGGGATCCTCTGTCCCCCTTTCTCTCTGTCCCTCCCTGGCTTGCACGTGCTCTCTCAAAAAATAAACACTTAAAAATAAATATCTAAGTAAACAAGTAAATAAATAAATACGCAAATGAACGAACGTTTTTTAAAAAATCAAAACTTGTCCTTTGGATAAAAACAATCTTCTTTTGGATAAGTGCCTTCTGCAATGTCCGAAATGATTTCCTATCATCTTACACAGGAACGGACTGCACCTAGGGCTGTCCCTTGATGAGCCGGTGGTTACAACCACAGACACAAGGGCTGTCTACGTCCTTGTGCTGTGACGGAGAAGTTCACCTTCACGTTAAGTGGCCCTGACAGCTATCCTTCTCTAGTGTTTGTGCCTAGTTTTCACGGTTTCTGTCTTCTTCCTATCAGGCTGTTTTCTCTTCTGTTGTTTCCAATTCAGGTTAAGGTAGAACACCAGAGAACCAACTGTTTCCAAAGTAAATACAATCTGAGGAAAAACTGGTTTTATGGTGTCACTTTCATTACCCAGAAATTTTAGATAATCAAAGTCATCGGAAGTATACCCTGTAGATAAACGCGTTCACTGCAATGCTGCTGGACTCACAACCACGACAGAAAACCCCATAAACCTAAACAGCGTATTCAGCAACTCCCCCTCCAACCTCTGCAAATACCTAACAGGCCATCTGGGAGTCAGAGCCAATACGAATGTCTCCATAAGGCCGACCAAGTAGCACGGGTGACAGCCGTGCTACGGAGCACACTGTTCTAGAAGACCAAGGGAAAAGGCAGCAAAGGGTGAGTCGGACCAGGGGTGCAGGGTGGGGACGGTGGCCCAGGTTACGGGGGAGCTCGCTCAAAACCTCAGCGTGACCAGGAGGAGGAACGGCGCCACGACGGGGAGGAGGTGTCTGCGGAAGGGACAGCCAGGCGAGAGTGGCAGCCCAGCCCCCAAACTCCCAGGACAATCGGCCGCTCCCACCAGCGGGGCTGGACGACCGCCCTAAGGAGTGGGCACCCGATGGAGGACAGACCCCACACGCAGCAGCGTCGGGCCGGGCCGCACCAGGAGGATACGCGCCGTGCCCTCGAACCTCACCTTTTCTTTTCTTGCTCCTCCTTCTCGATTTTGTGGGACGCGACGTACGTGGAGAAGAGATGGCAACACCTGTTCAGGAGCTCGACAAACTCTACCATGGCGTCCTCTTTAGAGGTATTTCCCAGGGCCGCCCACTCTCTCCTGGTGGGAAAGCGGGACAGGTCACCTCCTCGCCACAGAGTGGAACGTGCCTTCACATAAGCCTACGCGCGAGCAATTCTCAATCAGAACTAAATCGGAGAGGGACCCTGGCATAAGGCAAAGGCTCAAGTCCTCAGTTTCAAAGAGCAAGCGGGGTTGACTGAACGAGCTAGGCCACGCGCGGCCCAAACTCACAGCCGTAACCGCGGACTGAACGCCCTGCGGGTCCTTTCCACGCTAGCAAAGGGGTACAGAAGAGTCCCTCTCCTCCTGTCACCGCATTTTAGTCGTAACTGAACGCGCTCCACGGTGCATTCTTTTTCTGCCACAACTCTGTGCGCGTCCCACAAGGACATGGCTTACTGTATACTTTATGTGGCTGCTTTTCGTGTTATTTGGGGAGGATCAACTTTAGCTGCACTTGTCTTATGTTCATAATCAGAGGAGTAAACTTCTGCCACATTATTTATGCAAACACATCTCCACGCCAAACACACACACACGTGAAGATTCCAGAAGCTGCGAGCAGCAATGTCTGTTTCAGTCTGACTCTAAGCTAAGGAGCCTGCTGTCTACATCTTAACCAACTGGCTCTCCACTCAACATTACTGTCGCTAAATCCGTTATACAACAAAACATCGTTACCTCCTGTCATTCCCCAACACATCAAAGAATCCAACCTCAGGACAAGTGTCTGGATTATATGGACCCATAAGAACCTGCTTATGCAGTGCCACAAGCTTCAGTTTTTCTTCGTAAGTGGGATGAAAGGCTTTGCCATCTTTTTCTGCAAGAAAAAGAAACACAAAAACAATCAGAATTGGCAAAAAAAAAAGTACTTTTGGTATCCGACGACGCCGTTTCGCTCTCTAAGGTAGTCACAAACTACCTGCGATAGATACAGATCTTACGGTGAGTTTTATTTCATATACTGAATTTTAATAGAGTCTAAGGCAGAAACCCTTTATGTGGAGTTGTTTGTTTTTAATGAAGCCAAACACCAATATCTATGTTAAAACTTCTACAGAAGAAACCAATCTGTCAAGCTAACAGGCACACACATACAAACTGTACCACCTGACATCTTCTACACATATTAAAACTTGTGCAACAATCATTTTTATAGTTATTTAACTTCATTTCAGAGAGAGAGCATGGGAGCAGGGGAGAGGGGCAGGGGTGGTGGAGGAGAGGGAGAGACAGAGAGAGAGAGAGAGAGAGAGAGAGGGAGGGAGAGGGAGGGAGAGAGAGAGAGAGAAAGAGTGAATTCCAAGCAGGCTCCATACTGTGTCGAGCCCAATGCGGGGCTTGATCCCACAACCCAGGATCACCCCCTGAGCCGAAATCAAGAGTTGGACACTCGGGGAGCCCAGGTGGCTCAATCGGTTAAGCGTCCAACTCTTGGTTTCGGCTCAAGTCATGATCTCATGGTTCACGGGTTCCAGCCCTTCATCGGGCTCCACCCCACGAAGCCTCTTTGGGATTCTCTGCTTCTCCCCCTCATCCTGCGCACTCTTCCTCTTTCCCTCTCTCTTTATTTTTTTTATTTAAAAAAAAATTTTTTTTCAACGTTTTTATTTATTTTTGGGACAGAGAGAGAGCATGAACGGGGGAGGGGCAGAGAGAGAGGGAGACACAGAATCTGAAACAGGCTCCAGGCTCTGAGCCATCAGCCCAGAGCCCGACGCGGGGCTCGAACTCACGGACCGCGAGATCGTGACCTGGCTGAAGTCGGACGCTTAACCGACTGCGCCACCCAGGCGCCCCTCCCTCTCTCTTTAAAAAAAGAAAATTTTTTTAAATTAAAAAAAGTAGTATGTACTGCCTACAAATTTTATCCTAGTACACAGTCGTCACCAAAATAAAATCACTGATGAGAAAAGAATGTGGGTTAAAGCTTATGAACAGGAAACTCAGCAGGGAAAAAAAAAAAAAAAAAAAAGCGGCCAATAAGCATCCCAACATATTTAATCAACTAGTCACGAAAATGGCAATCAAAACCATACCAAACCATAACCAAAACTTGTGCCGTGATATGGTCAAAAAAAGTCAGGTAACATCAAGAGCTGGTAAGACCGGGACAAAGAGGCACCCACGCTCCCGGACGATGCTGTTAAGTATACACGGTTACCTTGGAAGGTAACAGTTATGTTAGAAGTTTTCTTGGAAGACAAGTTAGCGACAGATTCCAAAATCATAAAGGTGCACACCCTGCCATCCAGTCCTTCCAATTCTCGCTCTCTCCCCTTCATACTGTCCCGAATACGGACAGAGGCACGTGCAGGGATATTCGCTGCCGCTGTGTGCTTGCCATCCTAAACAATCTAAAAGTTCTTCGAGAAAGAAACGGCTAAATAACGTAACACTTCTGGATTGTGGCATATATGACTTACAGGAAGTAGTAAGTGAAAAATGCAAGCGGCAGAAGATGATACACAGTCAGAGCACACAACACGCTTCATCAATCCTAAACACTCCCCCAACCACACACTTGAACATCTCTAAAATCAGATCTGGTTTTACCAGCTGCCATTTTCAAGTTACAAATAAGCAGGTTTTCTTTAGCATGTAAGAGATTAGGGAGTCTTAAAGCTTTTAAAAACGGGGCGCCTGGGTAGCTCCGTTGAGCGTACACGACTCCAGATTTTGGCTGCGGTCATGGTTTCAGAGCTGAGTTCGAGCCCATCGGGCTCCGTGCTGATAGCGCAAAAGCCCGCTTGGAATGGTCTCCTTCTCTTTCTCTGTCTGCTCCTCCCACGTGCACGTACTCACGTGCTCTCTCAAAAATAAACTTTTAAAAAACAGGAAAAAAAAGGATCTTAGAGTTGACACAATACAGCACGTAAACACACCCACATACATATTCTACAGGTACGTTTACATGAATGTAAATGCAAATTAAAAAAATCCAGGAGTCACATCACACCAAAGGAAACCGAAGGAGTCTCACAGAGAATTTAAGCCTTACTTGTCATTGTAATCTTTCAAAGGAAAATGTGCGGAAGAGTAAGCTGAACTGTTAAGAGGAGTTTCCTTTTTTTTTTTTTTTTAATATTTTTTAACGTTTATTTATTTTTGAGAGAGAGAGAGAGAGAGAGAGAGAGAGAGAGAGAGAGAAAACATGAGCTGGGGAGGGGCAGAGAGAGGGAGACACAGAATCCCAAGCAGGCTCCAGGCTCTGAGCTGTCAGCACAGAGTCTAACATGGCACTTAAACTCTGGAACCGAACTATGAGATCATGACCTGAGCCAAAGTCAGACGCTTAATCGACTGAGCCACCCAAGAGCCCCAGAGAACTTTTATATACTTCTATGTACCTGCACTTTTTTTTTCCAGCAAGAACAAACTCATGCGGTATTTGGAAAAAAATATTAAGAAAAAACACTGGGACACTGATCTTATTTATTTAATACAAATCGAAACAACTCAAGCAACCTGTGGACCTGCCATCTGTCTTTGCTACTGAGCAAACAGTATCACTAGACAGTTAGCACCAAGGAGGAACTTCCTCTAAAGCTTTTTGGACAGGATTATCAGAGTTATTTATTTACCAAGTAAGAGGCAATTCCCACTTCAAAATCTCTTAGAATGCTATTTCAGGGTGCCCGGGGGTCTCAGTCGGTTAGGCATCCGACTCTTGGTTTTGGCTCAAGTCATGATCTCACGATTCATTGGTTCAAGCCCTGGTCAGGCTCTGTGCTGACGGTGCAGAGCCTGCTTGGAACTCTCTCATATTCTCTCTCTCTCTCGCTCTCTCTCTGCTCCTCCGCCACTTGCGTATGTGCTCTCTCTCTCACTCGCTCTCAAAATAAATAAAAACAAACCTAAAAAAAGAAGAAGGTGTTTTTGTTTTTTTAAATATTTTTTTAAAATGTTTGTTTTTGAGAGAGAGAGAGAGAGAGAGAGAGAAAGAGAGAGAGAGATACAGCACTAGTGGGGGAGGGTCAGAGAGAGAAGGAGACACAGAATCTGAAGCAGGCTCCAGGCTCTGAGCTGTCAGCACAGAGGCCGACAAGGGGCTCGAACTCACGGACTGCGAGATCGTGACCTGAGCCGAAGTCGGACGCTCAACCGACTGAGCCACCCAGGCGCCCCATGTTTTGTTTTTTAAAGCCAAAAAGAACTACTCTAAGGATACCATTTTGAGCCTTATAAAAAGAAATTACGTGCTGGTGACTCAAGGTGAAGGGAGCCTAAGAAACAGCAGGGGTGGAGCACAGGAGGTACAAGTCCTTGCTTTGTTCAGTCAGGATTGCTGGGGTTTGTCGCTTTCTCCTTTAGGGGAAAAAAAAAGCCTGAATTGTATGGAAGTGGTTGCTCTGACCTAAATAAATGTAAATAAAGATAAAATCAGATGGAAACTTTATCCACTAGAAGACCAAACACTTTCCCGATTAGTCATGTAATATAGCAATTTTCAAACCTACACACACACACACACACACACACACACACACACACACACATTCCTACTTGCTGCAGGGAGAGGATTTGACACCAACAGTCTAGTAGATATCAACACAATTTTTCTAGCCTATTGACTACTACAGTTATTTCAGTGGAGGGAGGGTCCATTTCTTACCAGGTAATGAATTTACTCCTTTATTTCAAAGACCTAGCCCTGCAAACTAGGAGCAGGGGAAGAAGGGGGAGGGTAGGCAAACAAGGAAACTGTGACAGTTAATTAGCAAGTTGTCGGCCTAACCTCCCGCCCTAAAAAGTGACTCACCCACAGGCAGGGTGAGTTTCCGGATTTCTGAATGTCGTTTTAACATGCGCCCTTTTTACTGGAGCAGCATGGTACTCGTGACGTCTGGTCTGTGAGTTTGAGCCCCAGGCTGGGTGTAGAGATTACTTAAAAATAAAATTTCACAGGGGTTCCTGGGGGCTCAGTCGGTTAAGCGTCCGACTTCGGCTCGGGTCATGATCTCACGGTTCATGGGTTCGAGACCCATGTCGGGCTCTGTGCGGACACCTCGGAGCCTCGAGTCTGCTTCGGATTCTCTCTCTCTGCCCCTTCCCTGCTTGCACTCTGTGTGTGTCTCTCTCTCTCTCTTTCTCTCTCTCTCTCTCTCAAAAATAAATAAAATGTAAAAAAATAAATAAATAAAATCTCACACAAAAAAATAAAGAAAGAAGAATACATTTTCATTGTTAGCTCTGGCCCAGCGTCAAATTAATCTGTTCACCACCATGAACCCAAGCACTCAGCACCACGCTTGGTTCATGGGTACCACCTAACCCATGCCCGACTAAAGAAAAAACTAACTTCACAGGTCAATTTCTGTGAGAATTAGCAAAACGGTACATTCGTTCTTATCAACTGTACTGGCATTTCCACAGAATCATGTGCACACTTGTTCAAGAACTGTTCTATCATCTTTCGTTAAATTCTACTATGGGATCTTCACATTAATCGGCATCATCCAAGCTGGGGACCAAATGTGTCTGAACCAAAAACAAGCACGACAAGACAAAGAAAAGGAAACGCATCGAAACGTCATCTTTCTGAAGGATTGGCTTACAGAGTTTTCTTTAGTCATTTTTTATTCCCAAATTTTCTTCAATATGCATAACGTACTTTCACATCAAATACATATACACTTTTTTCTTGTTTAACAAACATTTGTAAAAAGTCAAGACAACTCATCTTTCAGCCTTTGGGACAAGGTTAACAGATCCATTATCCTCCCCGGAAGAAGAGACACAACCCAGGAGGATGTGCAAATCCCACCCTCGGTACACACAGCCCACACGGTGCTCGTGTTCTCAACGCAGGATGTGTTT